AGAGAGAGAGAGAGATGTCTCAGCTGAAAGAGCTTCTAGATGAGGGATCTTGGCCCTTGTATACAATGTGGAGGGTGTTTTCACTCTCTCCCAAATCAAGATAGAATGCAAAGTAAGTACCAGGACAAGGAGGCAGAGTTAACCATTCATGTTGGCACCTCTGTTTCTTGTCCTCTGAATAAGCAGTGGTGGAAATAGGCGAACTTGGCGTGAAATGGATTAAAGAGAGAAGCAGCCCAAGTGTCTTTGCCTTGGAACAACAAACCCCTAAAACACCTCTATCCGCTGAAGCCAAGGGTGTGTACATGAATGGTGTAATAATATACTTCCTTCCATTGGACTTTTGTTTACACGCTGCAAATCAATGTTCTAAATTCTTAGCATTCTAAATCAGCTTTGTACTTCCACATTCAATTTTCATGTTGAACATGTACATTGCCTTTACTCAATTGTACATTGTTTTCGACAAAATTAAAGGGGAGTTTATCTCAACACTCATAGACATGGCTCCCCCTTTCCCTTGCATTTTACCCACAGACAAACTCTCTCTTCCCCTCACCCCAACTCCTTTAGATGGACAGTCTGGTACTACACTCTAGAGCAAGAATGTGAGAAAAAGAAGAAAGAACGACGAACAAAAAAAGGAAGGAAAATGAAAAAAAATAGAGAAAATTATAAATAACCCCCCCGCAATTTCAACTTCCTAGACATTCTCCACCCAACACTTTTTCTCTCACATCCTAAACCCCAATCCACTTTTTTTATATATTTACCCCCCAATCAAATAGTCAACTAGATTTGGGACAAAACTGCCCCTTTTCTCTCTCTTTCCCTTTTCAAAAAACATGTGCCTCTCACTTTCTCTCACTTATTCTTTCTCTTTCTCTCGCTCTCGCTTTTTCTCTTTACCTCTATCTCTCCACCTGAACTTTCTCTTTCTATGCCCTAAGCTTTCTCTCTCTCCCGAACTTTCTCACTCTTGCTGCCCTAAATCCCTCTACCTAAAATTCCCTCTCTCCCAAACTCTCAGTCTGTCAGAAATCTCTCCATCTCGCACGGTAAGTTTCTCTCCCGAACTTTCTCTCTCTATGGCCTAAAGTCCCTCTCTCTCAGCCCGAAATCTTTCCCTCTTTGCCGGAATCTCTCCCTCTTTGCTAGAAATCTCTCTATACCGGAATCTCTCAGTCTTTGTAGGTAGAGAGAGTGGGAGAGAGAGGACGGGTAGATACAGAAATAGAGAGGATGGGTAGAGAGAGGTAGAGAGAAAGTGAGAGAGAGAGAGAGAGGATGGGTGGAGAGAGAGAGGTAGAGAGAAAGTGAGAGAGAGAAAGAGTAAGAGAAAGTGAGAGGCACGTGATTTTTTTTGAAAGTTAGAGGCTACGTGTTTTTTTTTGAAAAGGGGAAGAGAGAGAAAATGATAGTTTTGTCCTAAACCTAGTTAACTATTTCACTGGGGAGGGGGGGTAAATACAAAAAAAAAATAGGTTGGGTTTAGGATGTGAGAGAAAAAGTATTGAGGAGGAGGATGTCTAGGAAGTTGAAATTGGCGGGGTATTTATAATTTTTTGAAAAAAAAAAACCCAAATTTAGAAAATAAAAGAGAAAAACATAATACAAAAGGACGGAAAAGAAAAACGTATGTTTACAAGATTTGAGTTTCACGGAGTCCTGTGAATACTGACTAGACTGAAGCTCTGATCCTACCCGGGAAATTAAATCCATTCTCCTTTCAATCTTAAACAAACAAAACTCGACAATAATGGAAGAAATAAGTGGCCGTAAATCGAGCCAAGGATGCGAGGAACTTATTTCTTCTTTCATGAAAATAAAGTTTCTCTACAAAAAAATTATCAGGTCCCCCTAACATAAGCTTGTCTCTTCAATATATGCCCCATAAACACTCTCTATATTTCTCTCATGTCCCCATAAACCCATAAGTCATACAAATCCCTTAAGTCAACAAATCCAACTAACTCCCATCCCAAGAGTGCTTTCTCCTTTAAGTCAACAAATCCTACTAACTTCCATCCCAAGAATACTTTCCCCTTTAAGTCAATCCTACTAATTCCCATCCCAAGAGTGCTTTTCCCTCTAAGTCAATAAATCTCACTAACTCCCATCTTAAGAATGCTTTTCTTTCGAAGTTAATAAATCCCACTAGCTCCCATCGTAATAATGTTTTCCCCTCTAAGTCAATAAATCCCATAACTCCCATCCCAAGAATGATACAAATCTATCTCAAGTCAACAAATCCCATAACTCCTAATTAAAAAAATAAAGTAAGAAAAAATGGATTTATTTTAAATTTTTGTTCACTTTTTGTTTATTAAGAGTTATGAGATATGTCGACTAGGGATAGATTTGTATCATTCTTGAAATATGCGTTATGAGATTTGTTGACTTAGAGGGGAAAGCATTATTGCAATGGGAGTTAGTGGGATTTGTTGACTTAAAGGGGAAAACATCCTTGGGATGGAGGTTATTGGGATTTGTTGACTTATAAGGTAAAACACTCTTGGGATGGGAGTTTGTGGGATTTGTCGATTTAGAGGGGAAAGCACTCTTGGGATGGGAGTTGGAGGGATTTGTTGACTTAAGAGATTTGTATAACTTATGGGTTTATGGGGTATAAGGGTCAAAGATAGAGTGTTTTATGGGGCCTATATTGAAGAGATCGGCTTATGTTAGGGGGATTTGGTAATTTTTGTAGAGAGAGTTTATGTTCATGAAAGAAAAAAGAGGTTATTCTCATTCTTGGCTTGATTTACAACCACTTATTTCCTTCATTGTTGTCGAGCTTTTGTTTGTTTAAGATCAAAAGAAGGCCGAATTTAATTTTCTTGGCTCCTTTCGCGTCAAGTGGTATATCAGAGCACAATTCAAAAAAGGTTTAGCGACTACGATGGCTAGTCGTGGAGGTTGCAACCATAGGAATGCCGAGCGGGACCGAATATTTAGAAAAATCTACAAACTTGATGGAGATGATTGAAAAGTTGTTGCAAAAAGAAAGATTGGAACAACACACATTGAACAAGATGGGATCTATAATATTAGATCCATATTGTGCGAGTTCTTGTGGAGATCAATATAAGTGTGGGTCTAAGTGGGAATGACCTGATGTTATGCTTGATTGCACTTATGGGTTCAATGCACGATGGCATAGACAGAGCATGAATACTGAGAAAAGTTTGGTAACCAACAAACCCCAAAGCCAATGTGATTGGTGTGGGGGAGTAGGCCAAAATCAGTGTAGAGACGAGTAGAGAAATAATTTTACCACATTAGATCCACCCCTACAGTAAGATCATTCCAGATTAGAGACTGATACCTCCAATTCGGGGAGTTGCTATCCCTACAATAAAACTGTGACTTGAACGTCATAGAAGTAAACAAAGGTATGTGATTTCTTAATCAAAGAAAATCCTAAATTTGTCAATAGAGG